CTATTTTTTTTATTTTTGATATTTATTTTTAAATATATTTGTTTGAAAAAACTAATATGATTTTATTTATTAGCATTTAAGGAAACAAATTATTTATTTAGAAATTTGAATTATATATCTATTATAAATTGTTTTTCAAATAAATCTTTAAATAGGAATTATACTATAAAAAGAAAAATACTATATTTATTATATTAGATTTACCTATAATAAATAATTTTTAGAAAATTTGAGAAAATATAATTTGAATTCTATTGAATATCAATATTAGATTATTCATTTTTTTTTCTATCTTTAGGTTCTTTATCTATTAAAATTCTACAAATAAATTATTAAAAATCAGATATTTATTCGGAATATATACCAATACAAATATAAATAGAATTTAATAAAGGAAAAAAATATATATTCCTTTTTAATATTTTATTATTATTCCTTTAAAGGAATAAATATAAATCAAAGAATTAAGGAATAAATTATGTTAATATTATTAATTTGAAAAACAAACATATATAATTTCAATTTTTCGAAAGATATTTATTCGAATTTAATTACTATTAATATTTAAAATACTATATTCAATACGAATTCCTCGCCAAATAGGAATTTAATTTGCAAAAGAAGTAAAAAAACATGTAAATAGATTTAAATATTATTTCACTCTAATTATTTATAAAATTAAATATATTTTTTTTTTTAATTATATGTTAAATGGAATTTCTTTTTAATATTTTCTAAATATGTATCTAGCTACAAACATATACATTTACAACAATTTCATGACCTCTTAAACAACAAAGATATTGCATAAAATATGTTAAATAAACAAACTCTGTATCCTAGGGGAGAATATCATATATATATATACATTATTTCTTATTTTAATAATATTTTATTTTTTTTACAAAAAATATATAATACTTAAAATCATTATTATATAATTTTATTCTTTATTCATTTATATATATATATTCATTTTTATTAAATATATCATTAATTATATATTATTATATAATTCATTTTTTAGAAAACCATAATATTTCTTTCAAAGAATTTAATAAAATAATTCGATTTTAATACCTTTATTTTATTTCTTTAACTATAAACAAAATTCCCTCCGAACCAACCATGTTAAATATTATATATAATTATTCTATTATATATATATAATTTTCAAAGACCTAATAATACATTAAAATATATATATTTATACCATTTATACCTATAATTGAATAAATAATATATATATATATTATACTTACTTAAATTAAATTTTATTGTTTAATATATTTATCTTCAAATACATTTAAAATTATATTATTATTCATTGTTATTAAGATTTAATATAAATATAAATATATATATATAAATATTAAATATATATATATATATTTATAATTCAAAATCATAATTATTGTCATTCTTGAAATATATATAATCTATATATATGTTCTTAATCAATATCATAATCACCTAAATATATTCAATATTCAATTCCATCATTTTCTTAAAATTTATATAATTCTTCATAAGATATATTTTTTAGATATTTATCTATTTAAAGAGGGGATAAACGAAAAAAATCGCATTTATTATATAAAATTGGATGGAAATAAATTCGATTCCATAAATAATTTGCGCACCATAAGAGGCGTCACAAAGATCCTCAAGAAATTTAATACAAACTAACATAATGACCTAATAAACAATAAAATGTAAACATAACGAAAGGTATCACAAACCATCTTAAATATCCCCTAGATTCTATGTACGGCTTACACATGACTTCCTACAAAATATCTGTTAAAAAACAATATAAATAACAATGAAAATAAATTAACATATAAATATCGACATTTAGGCAGAAAAGGAGGGGAACCAATAAAAAAGAATCGAATCCCCCAAAAAAAAAAATAATTAAAATAATTAATTCTTAATTTATTTAATTCCAATAATAATAACATCAATATGTTCAAATCTTACCTAAATTAAATAATTTTGTATAATTGAATATTTATTTAATATTATATATATATATTTATTAAATTTATTTATATTTAATTATGATTTATATTTATATTAAATTTATATTTTAATATATATTTAATATTTATCAGTTATATATATATTTTTTTGGTTTTCATTTTAATAATATTCATAATGTTATTCCTATTAATTTTTCAAAAATATTCTATAAACAAAAAATAATATAATTCCCCCCACAATTTGAAATTAAACAAAATTATAACACAAAAGAATAAATAAATATTATGCCTAGCAAATTACAATATCAATATTATATTATATCAATATATATATATATGTCTAACAAATATAAAATTATTATTTCATCAATATTTCATTCCAATCAAACCACCTTCCAATATTTACACCATAAATAATCAATATGAATTATATATATATAAAAATCAATTATATCATAATAACATTTATAATTAAACATAATCAAAATATAATTCAATATATTTTTTTTTATCTCAAAACCCAATTATAATCATCATAATACTTAAAAATCACAATAACCAACAAACCCAAACAAATTTATTTCAAACTAAACCAATATAACAATTATTCCAAACCACTACCATATATTTAAATAATTCACTAAATACAAATTATTATAAAATATCAAATTAATCAATTCCAATAAAAAGAAAAAACAACAACAACAAATAACATGTTATTAATTCATCTTATTATCAATAAACAAAATTTCCAAGATTCATTAAATAATATAATTTATATCAATACATAATTATATATAATCAATCAATTCAAAAATAATTCGGACAAATTATCTCTATAATAATTCAATAAATTACATAAATTACAACCTCGAATACCATATAAATTTAAAAACAATTATTTAAATCAAATATCTCATTATTTTTATCAATCAATATTTAAATTTTAATTTCCAATATCATATATGTTTCAATCAAATATCCTCAAATATTCGTCAATTTATTTCTATATCAATCAAACCAAATACTAAAGCCAACTAATTTACAAAACACTTTATCCAATTAATTCAGACCAACAACCCAACCAATATCCTAAATTGATTACCGAATTAAACTATAACGCAAACAAATAAGCTAACTAAACCACAAACTCACTATTTACCCAGCCAAACTAAACTAACAACCTAATCCCCACCGACTCCATCATCAGTTAGCTAATTCATTGATGTAGTCATTAGTTTATCTTCCCATATATATATATATATACATTTCAATTTACATACGATAGAAATAAATAGGAATGCGTTCCAAACTATAACCTTTTAAGCACTCATTCCCCAAACAATTGATTATGAGGGGTTCCAAATCCTGTGCCAAGCCCTAGCCTGGATGCCTAGCGCTGCTCTTTTGGTGAACGGGTTCATTTGTCTCCCTGCGCTTGTCTCCATTCATTTCTCTCTCCCAGCCTAGATGCCTGCACGGTTCTGTGACAGATTCATTTGTTTTCAGGTTGTCTCCCAGCCTGGGCGCCTATCACGACTTTCTGGGTGCTGGCATTCTTGGAGACGGGTTCGTTTGTCTCCCTTTGTCTCCTTCTTGTCGTCTCCCAGCCTGGCACGCCTCTGTGGGTAGACGGGCTCATGTGTCTCCCTTTGTCTCCCTTTATTTGTCCCCGGTTGTCTCCCAGCCTGGATGCTCCCTTCATTTGCGGTGTGTTCCGTGGGCACGCGTGTGTGTTTGAGGCTCAGAAACGCGTGCTTGCTTGATCAGGCCACAGGCAGCATGCCGCGGATGCAGGTGTCAGTGCCTCAAGATGTGTGTTACATGTGTGTTCCAATTGGACACGTGTTTGTTTTTCAGGTTAGTACATGTTTGTTTTTAGATAACGCACGTGTGCGTGTGTGTGTGTGTGTGTGTGTGTGTGTTCCGGGCGCACATATATATATATATATATGTATATATATATACATATGTGTGTGTGTTCACGTGTACACACGTGTGTGTGTTCGAAGTGTACACAGACGTGTGTTCACGTGTACACACATGTGTCAATTGCACACGTGTTTGTGTTCCAGGTGAACGGATGTGTGTTCCACGTGAACACGCTAGTATGTGCTAGGTGAACTGTTTTGCATCTGACGTCATATTTGCCGTCCAGGCGTGCACATGTGTGTGCTCCAGAAAAGGCATGATTGTTTTCGAGGTGCGCGCATGTGTGCGCCCTTTAGGTGCGCATTCATGGTTGCTCACGTGTGCACATATGTGGGTTCCACGTGCACACGCACATGTGTGCTTTAATCGCACACGCGGTACATGTGTTCCAGTGGTATACAGATGTGTGTCCCAAGTGTACACACATGCGTGCTTTAATTGCACGTGTTTGTGTTTCAGGTGACACATGTGTGTTCCGCGTGTACACGTGACACGCATGTGTGTCTGAGTTGGGCGTGTTTCATTGTGTTCCAAGCGTACACACATGTGTGTTCCACGTGAAAGCGAACGCATATGTGTGTTCCAGGTCCACGTGCACGCATGTGTGTGTGCTTTCCAAGAAGCGCGTGCTTGTTTTCCAGCTCAACGCATTTATGCGTCTGCCGCAGGTGAATGTATATGTGTGCCTTCACGGGTGCACGTCTGCGTGTGCCGCATGTAGTGTTTCAGTCGTACACATATGTGTGTTCCACGTTTGCGCGCATGTGTGTCTGAGCTGGAAATGTGTGTCTGAACTGCCCATGTGACCGTGCGCTTGCGCAGCCACACTTGCGTTCACGCGCGCGCGCTCGCCCACTGTCGCACGCGCTTGCCCAACCTCAGTTCTGGCGCTTTGCTAAAGCGCGAAGCGCGGCAGCAACACACGTGCAGCAACGCAACGCGTGCCAGGTTCACAACTGCATCATTTTGATTCATCCGTTTTGAAGCGCGGAAAGCCACAAGCTGTTGCCATGTTTGTGCTAGCCCGTCAGTCCTCGACTGTTTGGGGTCCCTGCTGGTGTAATGTTTGATTTGTTTCCTATGTTAATGGCTTTGATGAAACAGATGCTTGAATGTTAGGTTGCATCGGAGTGTACAACTAAGCACCACTGCACAGTGGTTGCAGTCTTGGGCTTTTTCAAGATACTCTTGCGCCGCTGCTTGCCAATTCATCATGACAAAGCCACTTTGCTCAAGGCTCCTCAAAGCTTCGGCCCCCGGCATGGGAAGCAGATTGGGAGTGCCCTCGATAGGCACCGTGTGATCCAATTCGGGCTGCGAAAGGTTTCGGGGGCTCACCCTGGTTGCGCCTAGGGGCTCCTCTTGGAAGCTTTCGAGGCATTGCTGGCAGAGCATGTGTTTGGCGGTCGGGGCCCACGCACAAGCTGGCCGGTAATGTGAGAAGTCCGGCGGCACGCAACGAGGTGTCCGAGGCACATCTTTGCGCCAAAAGTTGTAGAGGATCACCGCCCGCTGCCCAAATTCACTGGGATTGTCCAAGCCCACAGCCCCATGGCGAAGTTCTCCAGGAAACACCAGCCAGCGGTTGGCTCGGCACGCCACGGCGCACCCGCACGCAGGCACTGGTGGAGAGTGGCCCTCTACAGTCGCCGTCTGGTTCAAGACCGTGGTAGGCCCACCCACATCGCTAAGGAACAGCACTGTGCCGTACACCGGTCGCAAATGCCCATATTTTGGGTCGAGAAAGGGATGAGTGTCGTAGTGGAAGTGGGCCCCCAATCTGGGTGCCTGACATTCTTGAGGCCAAACTACGAGTAGTAAACTAGTAGCCACCATGCCCGTCCCCCTTTCCAAAACCCAAGGAGAACACCGAGGTATTGCGTTTTGCCACCGCGCCTGCGTTCGACACCACCACTCCATGTCCAAATCCTCTCCAAGCAGCTGCAGCAGCTTGCGGCCGGCCAGCTCCGGCGCGCATCGCGGCGCGTGCCCAGCAGGAAGCCAAAAGCCCAGAAGCCGCTGGGGGCTCTTCGCCCTCCACACCGCGAAGTCCTGTCGTGGCCATTGGGCCATGACAGGTGTCGCAGTAGACGTTTGCATGGGCGACTTGGCAATCAACTGCGATGCCAAAGCTTCTTGTTGAACATGTTATCAATTGCTATTTATAGGCATGAACAACAAACGGAATGATAGGTGAGGTGCAGCCCCACATCCTCCACGCAGCACTGAAGTGCTTGCAGCAACTGGGGTCCGAAGACTTTATCCAAAACCAGCACCGGAGTGTCATGCCCAAGGCCATCAAAGATTGCACGTCGGCATGGAGTTGGGGGTTCCTCGCTCTGAAGCCTCACATTTGTCGAGTGTGGGGCTCAAGCATGCAAACACTATGATTGCTTGAGAATCGCATGTGCAAATACGTTGGCTAGCAGCTGGTGGATGTTGTCAGGGATATCGCCAGGCCACTGCCAGTGGGAGTCTTGGACTCCTTAGCTTGGTGAACATGCAAAGAAGTACATGCTTTCATGTATATGAGTCCGTGTGCGCGCTTTGTGCTCTGTGCGCTTTGCGTTCTTTGCATGCTTTGCATATATATATATATATGTATTGGCTTCAAGATTTGTTTTCTTTTGTGTGCTTGGCGAACTTTCCGTGTTCTGTCGGGCTTGTGTGTGGCACCTCCTGGCAGATGACTGGGCTGAACACAACTCTTGAAAAAGGGCTTCGAAGACGGCCTTTGTTGGCCGAACATGCAAGGCGCTTAGACAAAATCACCTGCAAGTGCACCCGTCGGTTTTGCTTTGGGTGTGTGTGTCCGTTGTATTTGTTTGAGTTGATGCTCTGTGCTTCTGTGAGTTTGTTTCGTTGGGTATTTTGCCGTGATTTCGTTCTTGTTGTCTTGCGTGATGGTTTAGTTTCGTGCGCTTGGGTTGTGTGTGTGTGCGCGTATTATTGTGTTTGCAGTTGTGCAAGTGAGCGTTCTATTTTGCGCGTGTTTGTGTTTGTGCATGTGCAAGTGAGTGGTTGTGTGTTCGTCAGTTTACGTGTTTGCATGTTGGTGTTCTTGCGAGCCTCTTTCTTTCTTGTGCTTGTGCATTCGTGGTGTGGCGTTTGTGACGTGTTGTTTGTGTGGTGTGTTGCCGGGCAGCGTGTGTGCTTTTCGGTGTGTCTTGACGTCTTGTCGCGTGTGTGGTGTGTGGTGTGTGATGCGTGGTGTGTGGTGTGTGGCGTGGTGTGAAGGCGCGTGTGTGTGTGTGTGTGTGGGGTCGTGGTGTGCGTGTGTGTGGTGTGTGTGTGTGTGTGTGTGTGTGTGTTGCGTGGTGTGTTTGTGGTGTTTTTGCGGTGTGTGGTGATTGTGCCGTGTGCAGTTTGCCGCGTAGTCATCCTGCGGTGTGCGGCTTGTGGTGCGGCGATTGTGCTGTGAGAGATTTGCGGTGTGTGGTGATTGCGCGGTGTGGCGTGCGGAGTTTGTAGTTGTGATTGTGTGCTGCCTGGTTCGTGGTGTATCATGTCTGTGCTGGCTGGTTTGTTTGTTTGTTTGTTTCTTTGCTTGCTTGCTAGCTTGATTTTGTGCTTTTGCTTGGCGGGTGCTCTCAGCATACATGCCATCTTGCCAGGCAACGCCACGTAGTTTCCGCCATTTGCTCCTGCACGCTGCTGGCTCAAGTTGTTCCAAGCTGCCCGTGGTACTCGTGCGCCGTCCTTTCCGGCCAGGGCCTCGGCCACCTCGAAGCATGTGAGGTGGGGTCAAACCTGACCTGTCGCCTCTGGGCGTCCGGCGTCCGGCCAGCAATTGCGCCGCACCAAAGAGCAGCGCAGCGTGCGGGCCAAGAGCTTGCAGTCAGAAGCCGCCTCTGCTTACGCAAGGCTGTGCGATGTCATCGCGCCCGACATGGCGGGGTTGCCTGGACACCCAAAGGGCCCAGCCTCACAAGTATGGCGTCGGCTCATGGAGTCGCGGCAAAAATCCGCCTGAGGACGTGGCGGGTCCAGCGACTGCACGCGCTCCAAAAAGAAGAAGGCGCTGTCGAAGTCCTCAAATACAACTCCCAACACAGTGACTGCCGAATCACCCCTTGCGAATATGGGTACTGTGCGGCCGAGCATCTGCAGTTCTGGTTGCATAGTCCTTACGGCACTGCATGCAGGAAGCTAAGGCAAAACACCACGACAAACACGCCCGAACATACACAAAGCTATCATGGTAACGGGAAAAAGGCGACTTGCTTCCGACAGTAGCTTGTTACCAGTTTATGCAAAATGCCACAGGAACAAAAAGCTGAATGTACCATAAACTACTGCGGCACTGCCACATCCACAGCAACAACCGTGCCCAGCCCTCTAATCCCAATGGAAGCTGCTTCATTGCAGCTTGTTTCAAAAGCATGCTTCAACACGTAACTCTTTGTCAGCAGCCAAAGAAATCCTCAACCCCAAAAAACGAAAATTAAAATCCGAGGGACGGCCATCCACCCAAGAGCGGCCATTCAAAAGCCACTTGTACCGCACCGCACCACCCGAAGCTCACCCTAGACCGACAAAAATACCCGCTCGGCCACTGTACACTGCGGACTATTTTTGGAAGTGGCCCAAGTGGTCCGTGCTGCTAAGAGGTTCCAATCTGGGCCGAAAGGTTTCTATGTGATGCTAAACACAAATACCCATAAACCTAAAGAACTACAAACTGCGCCCACAAATGCTCTTGACGGCACGAAAACACGCCTCAGTGCGTGACAGGCATCAGCCAAATAAGGCCAGATTTCCAGTCGCTCTCCATACTTCATTGCCTGCGAGTATTGCTCTGGAAAGGGGAAAAGAGCAGCTTGCAGTCAAACAGCTTTAAACCTTCAATCAATGAATTCAACATTGTTGGGGTGATGCGCAAGCCCTACGTGCGGAGGAATCGACTCACGTGTAATTTACAATTTTGGCCTTGCGTAGAACTCAATCTGGGTTAAGCTCTTCACCGCTGTCCCTCAGCACGCGCTTGGACATACACTTCCTTCCATCGAAGCTGTTTTTGCTTCCATCCATCCGAATCGGAATCTGCCACGCAAGCTACTGGGAAAGCAACAGTCTGTTTGATTTCTTGGGATTTCGTGAAACCGATTAAATCCTGATTTCATTTGTTGGGGCGACCTAAAGCGATCCAATCCTAGAAAAGGATGTTGATGAGAACTAATTCCCATGTATTCTGCTGTTTGGCTTTAGAGTGAACTCCAGAAACTCTGGGTTGCCATCCTTTTGGGCAGCTTGAAGCTATTCCAGAGAGTTGCCTGACCAAAGCCTACTAGTCCAGAAACACTGCCCCGGACCAGGGGGAGTCTATCCCCGGACCCCTTTTCCATGGCTTTCGTGGCAATTAGCTCTGATTCTATTCTTTTTATATTATTTCACTCCTTTTCAATTGGAAAGGCAAGGGCTGAATCTGTACGGCTCTCAGCCTCGCCTGGCGCATGCAGTGCGCCACATCCTCGTGCTTGTGGCAAATGTCGTTCACGATGCCCAGCAGATACCACGCTTCTGCCACCTCTGCCACCGCTGCCTCCTGGGCGCGGTCCAAGACATTGCGACAAACTGCAGCGGCTGCTGGAGCTTCGCCCTTCGCCAGAAGCTCCCGCACCGATGCCAGCGGGGAAACACATGCGCGCTTGCTAGGGCGCTCTGACATGTGGCTGACAAATGTGTGATGCTTTGAGGCAAAAGATGTAACCTGGCTCTCTAAAATGGGGGGGCACCCTCCAAGTGCTCGAACTCTTTGTCACTGCCAGCACATGTTGCTACCAGTAACCGTTGTCGCAACGTTTCTGGGACACAGCTCGCTGGATGGGCTGACTGTCACACCACCGAACACATTGCCGGAGCCTTAGGTGCTTTGTGATTCTAGCGGTGTGCTGCATCTATTCCTGCCACTTTGCCCATTCTGCCATATCGAATGTGTGCACTCCAGCTGCACTCTCTATCAACTGCGACATCCGAGGCGCCCACACCAGTAAACTTCAATTGGTACGACTCACACATAGCCTGAATCTACGTTACAACGCAAACTTCTTCTTGTCTCATGCTTCTATTTTGGCACCGTATGGCTCGCAACTAGCATGCACAAACACATAAGTTTTGTTTCGCCTGCCGTTGGCACCGTGCTTTGGCACAAATGTGCACTCCGCTCCGTTGCGCAAAAGGACCACGGACACATTCAGGCAAGGAAACTCTTCCTTGGGACAGTGCAATGGCACCCATTTTGAGAGCCACGCGTCCAAACCTATCCGAAACCTCCAATTCAGAGTGTCCACATCCACGAGGACTACACTCGTGGCCCTCCTCCCTTTGGTCGGCAGCTGGACGTCAGGCGCGCCCCATCCGCCATTGGCTGATCTGCGGCGCAGGACTGCTCCGGCTGCGTCGTATTCCAGTAAGTTGTCCAAACAAAGCACGCCCAAGGGCTTCATTCTGACCGCAAAACGCCAGCGAGCACCGTCGACCATGATCGGAAGGCTCCAAGATATCTTGGTCGTGCCGCAGCCAGAACGCGCGGAGATGGCAGTGTGAGCATCCTGGTCGGAGAGCATCGCATCATCCACCAGTACCCAATGTCCGCGGTCCAGCACTGCTCCAAAAAAGGGGCCAAGATTTGTGCAAGCAAAGTCATCAGGGAGCAGAGACAACGCAGTTGAGCTTTTTCTGAAGACCCATCTGACAAGCTCGCATCTTGGGCAGAAGGGATCCAGCTCTTCAGACATCCCGCCGCTACCGGCGGCAAATGGCGTAGGCAGGAGAGCGCCGAGTTGCTTGAATTGTAAACAGTTTGTCCAACTGACGCTTTCGCAGGTGCACTGTTGCGAATGACAGTGCAATACCCTGTCTACTTGTACGAGAATCGCTGCAAAGCCAAAGCAATGTGCACACTACTACAGCTGTGCCCAAACACAACTTTCCGGTCAGATCTGAACCTACAGATTGGATTTGCATCTGCCTGACCGCAGAAGTAAGTCGGACTTTTCCGCAATGCAAGGCCAGCACAGTCGCTACTTCACGTCTGCGCTCCAACCAAATTCAGACCTCAAGTCTCAGCTTGTCGGCAGTGCGTCAAACATTTGAATGATCCCTGTTCAAGCCATCCCACAAAGGTTCCACTTTTGGACGGTTCTGAAAGGAAAAACACAAATATTCAAGACTCAGTTTCGGTTCAAAACTCACCCCTATCAGTCGCGCAAAAGTCCTAAGATGCAGGCAGAAACAGCTCAGCACAGTAGTGTGATGGGCCCAGAATGTCCATAAAATGTTTCCTGCATTCGACTCCGCGAGATGAGCAGACAGCGACTCTTGTGTTCTTCCAACGGTCTTTTCTCGGTTGACATCCTTTGGCTTTCCCTTTCACTAACCAACAGCAGCTCCGCACTCCATGTTGAGAAACACTGAAACACTCATGCTGACTCATACTTGTTGCCTAGCAACAAGTTTTCTTCATGCTCCCACTGCCTCGCACCACTGCTTCTCAACATCCCACAGCTTCAGCGTGTAGTCCTGGCGGATGCTCACCGGTGACCCCGCCAGAAAGAGCCCGAAAGCTTCGCCAGCGGGACATCAGAGGCACTCAGAACGAGCTTGCGCTTCCAGTTGGCACCTCGCGAGGCAGGTAACGAGCTCATACCGTCTCAGCAACGTGTCTCTAAGGTAAAGACTCAGGCAGGTAACTCGACTCGCATGCCCTTCCAGGGTTGCTATACACGAGCGGCCCACCAGGTCCTGCATGAAAGAGGGTCAGGGCAAAACACGCGCTCATTCAAGTTGTTTGACTAGATGCGGACTCAGTAGTACCCAGTTTACAATCCTGCTTCTCCCACTGCCCACGGGCGGTGCTGCGTTCAAAAGAAACCCTGCGAAAGACACTTGCATTGTTTGCTGCCGGTCCCAAATCCGCAGTGTGGCATCATCGGAGCAAGTGATGCAAATCTGCTCGGTAAAGTCCTGCAACGCTGCACATTTACTCAACATACTGGCCTCCCTCAACGGGAATTTGCAATCGAGCTCAGCCAAACATGGCGGTCCGCAACCACGTCGCGCACGGCAAGGGAATGGCCCTCTAAAACACCCAGGGATTCGAAGCCATGCATATCCCACACCTGAAGTCGCACGCAGCACCCATTGGTGAGATGTCAAGACTCTTTGTCCAAGGCACTCGAGCAGTTTCGTCATCTGACACCGTGATGGCCATCCCCTTGGGCAACAAACAAAGACCAGAATTGACTTGGATCAATCCAGCCTTCTGCAAATCGACCTGAAAATTGTTGATCTGGCAGGTGTCAAGAATGACGGGCAGTGGCACTAATACTGTCTCATGGCCAGGCAAATAGACAAACATGCACACGTGATACGCTGGATGTGCACTTTTTCCCAAAACAAGCCGGTGGGCACAAGTTGGACAAACTTGCAACAAAGCAGGCACCAAGGCTGATGCCACACAGCATCTCAAAGGTGCCATTCCAAATCTGACCCTTTGTGTCGATCTGGGGTTAAGGATTTGCTTTCAAACTCTGGGGTCAGGTTTGAATGAAAAGGTGAGACTTATTGGATCAAATGGAGAAAGCGAACTGCGAAGTGCAGAATTCACTGGAACCGAAATGGCACCTTTGGTGTCTTCCACCGCTCCAAAGGGCATGTAAGGACTGTAAGGACGAAGCGAGCTCCTGCTGTACCCTCCTCACCGATGTGGTTGCAGCCCAAATTGATCTCGGTCGCTGCAGCAAGTGCCTTCGCACCCTTGTCTCCAATTCGGTTTTCTCTCAACCTGACCTCAGTCACCATGGTGGGTGAGGGCGTCAACCACCTTTCTCTCGCTGTCCGATGCTTGGTCACAGGGCATTGGCCAGGTCCTCGAAACCCGGCTTGGGCTTGATATCGTCTTGCCCGTGTTTTGGCTTCTCCTCTTTCCAGCTTGTCCGGCTGATCCGTCATTCTGCGTGCAAGCACCTCCTGCATCCTTGTCACAGCCTGCAGCACCTCCTCCGCCTTGGCACCCTTGCCGCTGCGCTCCAAACGGCCTTGGCCTTGGCAAGTGCGTCGCCCAGCGCCTGCACCAAGTGAATGATTTTGTTCGAGTCCTGAAACTTCTCCGGGGCATGGGTGCATTGGTGCCTTGACGGCAAATCTCTCACCGCCTGACCTCTGCGCGGCACCACATTCGTGGCTCCCCGCCTCCCAACGCGACACAGAGAACAAACCATTCGCAGAGTTGCCCTCAGCCCATGGCCAAGAGTTCTTTGCCTCCGATGGCCGGGCTGAACATCGTTTCTTCCGCCCAGAACTCTTTGCTTGGTCAGCTGCGGAAAGTCTCGGAGCCTCACATCACTTCACCAAACGAAGGGCCGCTGGGTACCTCCTGAGCTCGGACGTGAGGCACGTCCGAGCTCACGACGTACCCAGCAAAGCTTCTGCGGGTTTATTCAACAGGTTCCTCTTGCTCAGAACAATGTACTGGAGTTCTCCATATACGAATACAGCAGCGCATTGCATTTTGCCAGCTGTCCGTGAGGATGTAATTGAGACAGGGATGTAGCTTGGGCAAGCTTGATCCAAGAAAATAATGTGCAAATGGGGTTGCAAGAAGCTCATATCAAGGAGGGCATCTGCCATGTCCTTTTGAATTTCTTGGCCATTGGCTAGCGCTGCAAATGCATTCTGTGCATGTTTCCAAGCCATTGATATTATATGTCACGTGACACCGTCTGCATGAAAGTCTGATTCTACCAGCCCATCTTGGCATGTCGCATGCAGGAACACAACATGACATCGATGCAACGGGCCTTGTCCGTGTGGCCAGCCAGCTTTGCAATAGTAGCGCGTGTTTTCTGACGCGATAAGAATGCACATCACTGCACTTCACAAGCACGCTCAAACATTGCAAAGACTGCTACTGTGCCATCGCTCAACTGCAGCGTACCAAATGCCAAAAGTGTAGCGAACCATCAGCAGCACCACTAAGAACTCGATTCTTGTTGAAGTCGACATACTGGCACGGGCAACAGCGGAGTGGTCAAGCTCAAAATGCAATTGAAAGCGCTCACCAAAGCTTGGCCAGCAGGACCAAGGAGGTAACGCTCTCTCCGTGCTTTTCGAAAGTGCCTCTCACAAATTGCAATGGTGCCAGGGACTGTGTTTGTTTCACATGTCACGCCTACACAGGTCAATTCGGGCACGGTCACGTCCCAAACCTGAGTGGGGCATCTCTTTTAGGATTCATACCAAACGCAATTCTGCTGTATTGAACTGAGGGTCTGACCCGAAGCCTGCCATCCTCTGCAGCTGTTACTGCAAAGCCGATCACCACGTCCACCATGACTTTGTTGATCCGAGCTGCAGGGGCTTCGAGCTGTGGTTGTGAAAAAGTGCTTCGAACGCCAGAACTCATCATCAGTTCAAGCCAAACTCTTCCCCGCTGGTGGAGCCACAAACCACAGGAGTGGCACGTCTTGAAATCTAGCTCTTCTTGGGGAACAGCTGGTTCATGGGAACATCGTGGCCATGAAATACACGCTCACAACAGTGCTGAGCCTCTGATCGAAAGACCCCCGCCTCCGGGATGCGCTGCCACGGTGCTGAGCAACGCAAGCCTCTTGGTGTCCTGCAAGCTCTAAGAAGCTGCGCCAGAGTCACAGGAACTTTCAAGCATTCCAGGGTATACTGCCCCCTCTAAGCCACTAACACTGCCAGGGCCACTGAAGCAAAGTGCATCGATGCACAAACACATTGACACGTTGCATAGCGTGACCTTGACGACAACACCCCATATTCGCAAGCTCAATAATGACGTTTCATGGTTTTCTCCTCTAACTGGGCTCTGCTGGCCCCGATTGGTAGGAGAGAATGGCTACTCCGTGCCTCGACCCCCCGGCCCGCGCCGCGTTTCGCAAAACGGCGAATGCGCCGACGCTGGCGGCCTGTCGCAACCAGTGCCCGGCGTACGCGGGCGAGACTTCGCTTCGTTGGGTCATATGTTTCAGCTGGCAGTGGACATTGCCGTTGAAGTGCGAAGCAACTGCAAGTTGCCGGACCGAGCGGCGCCTGCAATTAGAGTGGCGCCGGCGGAAGGAGTCCCCGAAGGACTGGGGGGCCCACTTCAAAGTGATCCAGGTGAATCGGGTTCCCGAGCTTCCCGAGCACCGCCAGTTTCGTGCAGCGTGCTGTAAACATGGGGCCCAAGTACGGGAACGACGAGACCTCCTCAGCCCCAGCCTACCGTGTACAGCTAGCAAGCCAGGACTTGTTGGTGTTCTGGCGCAGGCCCCCATCATAGGCCTCCTTAGACAACATCTCCGCTGGCGTGCCCAGGTTCTTGCCACGGCTGACCCGCTCCTAGCATCGTCTCTGTGTAGAGATTGTAGAGCTTGCCGCTGCTCCAGCAGCAAGTGTTCGTGTCGACCTTCCCTTCGGTATCCGAATGGCTGCCGGGATTTCAGAGAGCTCAACTAAGGCCTCCTCCGCCGAGCCCCGTTGCGGGAGCCCCAACTTTTCGCCGAAGCGGGTCACCCGGCCCGCCAGCGACTCATCTTGTGGCAGAGCCTCAGGAGTTGCTGCGCCCCTCGCGGCTTCGCACGTATCGCCCGGATGTCGTCCTCGTCCAAGAGCTCCAGCACCGTGGGATTCTCGCCCGTTTCGCTCCACAGGAAGGAGGCACCAGCGCTGAACTCAACGAAGGAGCCATTGGGCGCGCTAGGGCCGCATGGAAAGCCGAGGAAGAAATGAAGGGGGGCAGCGCAGAGGACGCAGAGGACACCTCCATCCGTCCATCCGGATGCCCATGAGCCGGGATCGTGCCAATGAAAGGGGCGCCTGTCTGAGAGTCTGGGTGCCGGTGGCTTGATCCCAATGTAGATTTCTCAAAATATAGATCGGCTCGACGCGCCGCTTCAGGCCGACTTTGCCTGTTCTATGGTTTGCCGCAAGAGTTGTAATCTTTGGGGGAGACCAAAAAAGGAAACAGCGGAAAGGGCACCCACTCTGAACGCAAAGCATCGACAGGCGGTCCCACAGGCAAAGCTTTCCCTGGGCGGTGCCAGTAACTGCACCTAAGAATGGCGTTTGCTGCGGTAACCTTCACATGCCAGCTCAATCAGTCAGCTCAGTCACAGACGCCCGTTCTCCCAGTCTGCTGCCAAACAGATTTGCTGGCCTTGTCACAAAGTGGTCAAGGGCTAGAGACGCTGCGCAATCTAGTCAAGCATAGAGTCGTATCTAAGCTAGGCAGTCCGGCCATGCTTTCCTGAAAGCCACTGTTCCTTGCATTCGCATCTGTCCAGCGACCACAGGCACATCGAGCCTCGCAGGCCACACAATGTCCTTCAACTGAATCTGTCTCCGAGACTCAGGCCATCGTCTGACCCAGTTATGGCCATTAGTTCCTGGCGCTGCCACAGGTGCCGGGCAAACATGCGCTGTGCACATCGGATGTTGCTGTGCGTGGTACGCAGTTCCTAGTGACCGCACTGTCTGTCCTTCCAATCAATGGCAGCACATCGAACAGCACCTTCGTGCAAACCTTGGCAGCCGCTCGCTTCAGCGTCAGGTCACAAAGTTGAACACTGCGTTTTCTTGCCTGCCAGCGTGCCGCGACATTCTTTGCTGTGAAACTCCCAGATCTTCGCGGTGTGATCCTTCGGCGACGAACGCTTCTTTGCCGACACGAACGAATTCAATCAACAAAGCCATGAAGGTTCAACAGGGATCCTTACATTATACACCTGAACATTGCCTTGTACATGGTGGTGTCTCTTTATTTTGGTGGAAAAAGCCATGTTTCAAATGGTTGCAAAGTGTATCTTTTCAGGAGCCCTGTTCAATAGCCGTCCTTGGAGCAGCTGAGTGCTACCCACTTGGATAGATGCAATCGCCTGGCAAGACTCTCGCTGCACACAGACCAGCTCGCATGCTGCTGGCCTCTCCAGCGAGTCCCAGGAGATCCAGAACTGCGTCTTCTGCCACACGTTTTGCATCAAGACTAGGGACCCCTTTGTGACAGGTTGAAAGGGTATAGAAACGGGCACCATTGGACGGGGTGCCCCACTGGGATTCAGCTCATCTTTCAGGGCCATCGGAAGGGTTGGGAGCGAAAGCGAACGCACAGTCGTCCTTCTTTTCATCTTTGCCCTTCCCTTTTCCTTTTGGAGGCCTCAGTGCAAGCAGCGCAACGTCAGGGACAGTGCTATCTCGGTCTCATGGCAAATGGTCTCAGTGTCAAGCTCGCTAGACTCTTTCACTTGTCCCTGGCAGCAAAATCGCGTAGCTGTTTCAGCCGCCAATTTCGACTTGACTTGACTCACGCAAAAGGAGCTCAAGCCAAGGCCCACTGCTTTAGGAGGCCCAATAACCCAACGGTATTTGACTCTCCCTGGACAGAATTTTATGCCTCAGAGCCCTGTTCTGCTGCTGCATCCTGGCGCAAGGCTTGCCCACTCAAGCAGCTGCCATAAGCAATTGCCGCATTTCGGAGGAATGGAAAAGGAAGAGCTCGGGGTCCAACGCAAGATTTCTCTGCACAGCTATTGGCAGGGTCCTCGGCCTCTGGCATTGCATTGGGGCCACCATTCGGGCGACGATGCAAAATACTTTGTGTCAAGCAGTAGTAGTGTTGTATGCATTGTGTGGCAGGATGCCTTCATGACAAATCGATGTCAAGATTGGCTGAGAAAACGTGTGCATCTCTCCAAATATCTTAAATGTGGCACGTGTTCATCGTAGCTGATGCTGCCACTGGCTGGAGAAAAGATCAGCGGAGAGCAGGCAATCTTGGCAAAAGCCGCTGCGAAAGCATCTCTGACTTCCTTTCAGGTCGCAGCTCTGGCTTGTTTCAACAAGAGCGGAACCGCGCGTCTTCAGCCTTTGTAAACTTCCCAGCTGAAGCTCGGCCTGCACTTGGTGGGCTGACACACACATACACACAAGCAGTGCTACTTCCCATGTTCAAACAAGGATTCTCCTCGACTGAACCCCCACCACTGAGGGCCCAAGAAGTAAAACCGCATCGACCCAAACTCATTCAAGCACTTCTTGGAACCTACCCGAACTCCCGGACGGGGTTTGCAACTCAAGCTGCGGAGAACCTCTCTGGAGCAGAAACCCGAAACTTGGAACCTCAGCATTTGCGATCGGCACCCGCCCCAAACCCAACAAACACGAGACCCATAGCTGTTGCTTTCGGGGAACATAACTTTGGGCATCCACAAGGACACGTTTGAAAACCTTTGTGGTTCATCAACGCCTGCGGGGGCCAATTTTGACCCATTCTTCTGTCAAAAGCACGCTGCCTGCTGGTTCCCACCACAGTCTTCTCGCACACAAACCTTAGGAGATGAAGCTGGCACACCAAACGCACACTGCAAACACGTGGGTTGACAGAGCCGTGACCCTCTTTGGGAAGTCCCTAGCACGGGTTGTCATTGTTCCGCAAGAGTTTTCTGGCAGCACTCAAGCGTATTTCTTCATTGTACTCTTGAGCAGCACTCCAAATCCAGGCTTGCTGTTGCTGGTCATACATGCCTCGTGTCAAAATCTTTCTGAGGCTGCTTAAAATGCTGGCATAACTTGCTGGTGCTTAGTGTGTTGGGAATGAACCCCGATTTCTCATTCCCCCATCGAACCAGCAAGATAGTTCAAATGTTGATTAAACTCCCAGGGGGATGCTGGAACTTTATCAACTTCAAATGCCTGACAAGGATGCTCAAACTGCTTGTTGGTAGAATCCAAATGTTGATCGACTTCCCGGCGGATGCTGGAACACACTGGGACTCCCACTCCTTCAATCCTGCCAAGCCCTGCTCGAAGCCAAAGCCGCTGGCTTTGCCCTCACCGTTTCCAAGGGAGCCAAAGTGGCCAAGCTGGCAGAACATCCCACCTGTCGTCCGCCGAAAGGTGTGGATGGAAATAAGACCTGCGCGAGGGGAGCAACTCTGGCTTCACCAAAGTAAGCGACAAAATCGCACGTTGGCGCGAAAAGAACCCTCGGAGCGCCTGCGAGCAATTCTCCCAAACGATCCCAGATTTGAGTCGCGAAACTACGCGAGCTCGGCGAGCTGGGTCCACTGAGTAAACCTGCGAACCGGCGAGAAAGCCGAGGGCGTGTTGTACCAGGAAAAGCGTTTAAGAGGCGGACTGCATTGGCAAGTCCATACGGAGTGTCGTTCGCCAGCTGCACAGCCTCAAGAGGCGAAACATGTGGTAGGGAGCACCAACCCATATGTTCCCACCTCCTCCTCTGTTCGGAAGGACCTGGTGATTTGGCATCACAAGGAGTGGATTTGAAGCAGTCATGCGTGCCGTGGCAGTCATGTGTCAGAGCGAAGAAAATGGTAATGAATGAATGGTGAGATGATGATGATGATGATGATGATGATGATGATGATGATGATGATGATGATGATGACGATGACGATAACGATAGACGATGACGATGACCATGACGATGAAGACGACGATGAAGACGACGATGAGGACGACGATGACGACGATGACGACGGTAATCATGACGACGGTAATCATGATGGTGCTGATGATGAATCTGATAATGTGCACGTGTATGATGATGCATGTTGGTACTGATGATCATGGTGCAGACAGTGATAATGGAGATGATTCACGGCAAAAGGCGATTGTGATGTTGACGAAGAGCAACATGAAGGCAACCACGGTGTTGACTCTTCTTTCATATTCTAACCTATGTTTTGGGCAATTGGCAGCTGATGGTGTGCTGCTCATCTTGCTGACATGTCGCTCATTGACCATGCATTGCTTCAATGATGTCATAACAATTATACCGTAAATTATACCCTAAGGTTGCAAGGGAGCGCGCAATTCGAGCAATCTGCGCTTCTTGGCAGACCCAGCGCCTGATTGCAAGCACTGGGCCGAAGATTTCCTGCTTCCATGCCGAAGAGCCTTCGGGCCTCAAAGCGAGTGTGTGTGTCACTCAGCTTCGCAGAATGCACGAGGCATACGCAAGCTGGATAAGATGGTGGGTGGCACATAGTAGCCTCCAAGTCAGCTGCTCATGGTTAGCTAAGAATGCAACTACGCTCTCAGGCCTTGCTGCAAATCCGAGGATAGCTCCAAGGAAACCGAATGCCTCTTACCCCCACCAGCTTCAGCCTGAGCGCAAAAACTAGGTCCTCCAGTAGAGAGGCTGGAATAAGGGTACCCTTTTTCCTGTAGTCTATTTTAGTAGGGGAACCCTCCCCCCAAAAAAGGGTAAAAGGGCACTACTGGCGGACCTAGTAAACAAACAAACAAAAAACATGGCGTGGAGTTTTGTGTCCTGTGCGGCGGCCTGCTCGATCATGTTCACCACCTTCTGCTTTTGGCCCTGCCGACTTTGGCCAGCGATCCGCCCGCATTCTCTCCGGACATTTTCAGAGCGCCTCCGACACCAGGGGGCCCATCAGCGTGTCTTGGGCCAAGGGATGGCCCACTTTGATCTTCCTGAAGTCGAAGAAGCCGGGCATCGAAAGAGACCCTGACAACAAGTGACCCCCAACTAGCCCACTAAGCGATTTCCTTGTCAATGGACGGAAAAGGGCGCCCATACTTTTGAAACAGAACCCACTTGGTGTCGACATCCGTCCTGATGGCATCAACCAATCGCTCCACCAACTTGCTCTCGAGACTCTCATGAATCAGCACACGGCTGGTTGCAGAGCCTCGGCAGCATGTAGGGGTTCTCCAAATGGGGGATCCTGGTGGCTTCCCTGCAAAGGGTCTATATTTTCAATCACTCCATGCTACAGCCCAGGAAGGGCAAGGCTCCGGCACACTTGGCCAGTGCATTGGAAAATGCCAACCAGGACCTCGGCATAAAATTCAGACTGCATGCGTTCTTCCCATTGCGAAACAAGATGGACCCAGAAGGGGCCATGTTCTGCTGAGATCTCGACCCAGTCCACAACAGCATCCAAATATTCCCCTGCGTCCTGGACATCAAACTCATGAACTCAATTGCCTGCGTCAACTGCGCACCTCAAAGATGACGAAGGCGGATTTCCCGCCAAGCTCCTTAGCCGGCCACCCTCACACATGCTGGCGGAAGCTTTTTGGGTGCTGTTCCAAGCATGTAGGGCGCAATTTGGACGCGGAAGCCTCAGAACAAGGCAATATGGCGCAAACGCAACAAGCTACAACGCACTCACAAGTACTCAGCAAACGCCTCCAGCATCTTCTGTCCAGCCATACCGCTGCCGGTAAACGACACCTGACAAAAACTGGCTGGTCTAAACCGGATCTCTGGCCCTTTTGCGGCCTTGTCTAGGGAAGCATGGTCGATGAGGTACTGCCCAGTGCTTCCTCCACCTAAGAAGCTCAGGAGTGCTTCCACATCGGTGCCACGTGCAGACTTCAGCTGTGGCTCAAATAACAGGGATCCTAAAACCCTGGCTTGTGCAGTTAAAGACATGGGCGGCCAAAAGCATGCAGCCCCTGGTCCAACCAATTCCTAGCTCACTTCAAGGCTTCAGCCGGCTGAGCTTGTGGGGCACGGCCCGGGGGGGGGGGGTCCTAAAATTGGGAAGGTAGGAATTGGGATGTGTGGGAAGTGGGGTTTTGGGGGTGGAAGATGCATTCTGAGCTGTGCACCCTCAAGGGCTTCGGGTGGACCTCCCGTGATGACGTTCAAAGCTCCTCGCACAAAACGAACACGTGGCACGAGGTTTTCCAGCACGCCCACTCATTCACTCAGATCCTGGTGGGGCACCCGCTGCTGCTACTAGCTCGCCCAGTGCACAACAAGTGAGAGAGGCCAGGGGAGATGGCTTCAAGATGACGGCACAGCCTAAGAGTCAAATCAGCAAGCAGCTATCATGCCTGGCTGCTCCTGTTTGACACTGTTGCTGTTGTTGTTGTCGTCGTTGTCGTCCTCGTCGTCGTCGTTGTTGTTGTTGCTGCTGCTGTTGTTGTTGTTGTTGTTGTTGTTGTTGTTGTTGTTGCTGTTGCTGTTGCTGTTGCTGTTGCTGTTGCTGTTGCTGTTGCTGCTGCTGCTGCTTGTGCTGTTGCTGTTGCTGTTGCTGTTGCTGTTGCTGTTGCTGTTGCTGTTGCTGTTGCTGTTGCTGTTGCTGTTGCTGTTGCTGTTGCTGTTGCTGTTGCTGTTGCTGTTGCTGTTGCTGTTGCTGTTGCTGTTGCTGTTGCTGTTGCTGTTGCTGTTGCTGTTGCTGTTGCTGTTGCTGTTGCTGTTGCTGTTGCTGTTGCTGTTGCTGTTGCTGTTGCTGTTGTTGTTGTTGTTGTTGTTGTTGTTGTTGTTGTTGTTGTTGTTGTTGTTGTTGTTGTTGTTGTTGTTGTTGTTGTTGTTGTTGTTGTTGTTGTTGTTGTTGTTGTTGTTGTTGTTGTTGTTGTTGTTGTTGTTGTTGTTGTTGTTGTTGTTGTTGTTGTTGTTGTTGTTGTTGTTGTTGTTGTTGTTGTTGTTGTTGTTGTTGTTGTTGTTGTTGTTGTTGTTGTTGTTGTTGTTGTTGTTGTTGTTGTTGTTGTTGTTGTTGTTGTTGTTGTTGTTGTTGTTGTTGTTGTTGTTGTTGTTACTGTTGTTGTTGTTACTGTTGGCTGTTGGCTGTTGGCTGTTGGCTGTTGGCTGTTGGTTGTTGGTTGTTTGTTGTTTGTTGGTTGTTGGTTTTTGATTGTGGGTTGTCGGTTGTCGGTTGGTTGGTCGGTCGGTCGGTCGGTCGGTTGGTTGTTGTTGGTCGTGTGTCGTCTGTTGTTGTGGTTGTGGTTGTGGTTGTGGTTGTGGTTGTGGTTGTGGTTGTGGTTGTGGTTGTGGTTGTGGTTGTGGTTGTGGTTGTGGTTGTGGTTGTGGGTGGTGGTGGTGGTGGTGGTGGTGGCTGTGGTGGTGGTGGCTGTGGTGGTTGTTGTGGTTGTTGTGCTTGTTGTGGTTGTTGTGGTTGTTGTGGTTGTTGTGGTTGTTGTGGCTCTTATTCTTCCACTTCTTCTTCTCCTCCTTCTTCGTCTTCTTCTCCTTGTTCAAGTCGTTCTTGTTGTTCGCGCTGTTGTTGTCGTCGCTGTTGGAGGCCGCAGCGCGGTGGTCTGTTGAAGAGATGTGTTGCTGCTGCTGCTCTTTGGCAACATAATCCAACATGCTCGAATCAGCACTCCAAGAATAGCCAGGTGCCCCACCAGCAGCAAGAGCGGGAGCAACCTTGAGAACCTGCAACACGCCACATGCTTTGCTCTGGAACACAAGGGGCCCTGTTGGGTGTCGTACTGCTTGCATCAGTGGAAAGTTCCAGGGTGTGATGCACCTGGCATTCGGATGGTCCCAAGCTCTCAAGCTTCTACAGCTTCCGCATAATCGCTCATCAGTTTGTCCCAAACATGTTCGCGGCGCACCCCACCACGCCAAGAGGCTCAATCTCTGTCCTACGCGGGTCTCAACTCAATCCAATCACGGCCAAAACAGCAAGATGCACCTGGCAGCAAAATCAGCTGCATCTCCATCTCTCAGAGCTATCGCCTTGGCCTTCATCTCATGCGGCGTGACCTGTCACGCCACATGCTTTTGGTTTGCTGGGGCCCAACACTTGGTCGCTTCCCTGCAACTTCGGGTCTCATCCCCTTGACTTTGTCTGCTCAATCTGATTTTATATCTTGGTCCATCTCAAGCTGAATTTGCTGCTTCAGTGCAGGACCAGCCTCAGCATAATAGTCAAAGGTGTCAGCACAAACGCCCATATCCCCTTGACCTTGGCGATGATGTTGCAAATAAACATGCAAGCAATACATACATGCAAACGAATCATACGCGGGTCCCGTGAGCTTCATGCTTTCTGCAAACGGCTTGCCGCAGTCTCGGCTTTCTATCACCTGAGCAAGGTACATGCCCAACGCAATTCCAGCCGCGATTGCTCAAATAAGGAGCAAACGCACAGGGCATCACAAACCTGGCTGGAACAATGCACATGTGGCCATGGGTCAAAACCCCGTACCCCCAGTGAACATCCCAATCCCCACTAAAATAGACTAAAATGGGTGGTGCACCTATCCCAAAATGGTACCATTGGTTTTGAACCATGGCCATGTGAGTCGTTCGGAAGGCTGGCTACAAGTGCGAAGTCGCCTCTGCGGTTCTCAGAGATGCCGCGACCCGCTTTAGGATCGTAGCTCTAGCCTGGCTCGCTGCATGGCGGTCTCTCTTTATAGCTTGGGGTTGTTTTTGAGGGAAACCAAAGGGACACCAACCAATTTGCGGGGTCCCTAAGAAAAGGACACACGCATAGTGGGCCTCTTTTCTGCAAAAGCAGTTTGCTTTCCATTGCATGGCTGTGGGCCGATTTCGGCCTTCGCGGGACCACGCAGCTCACCGAGTTCATCTTTTGGGCTGTTTGAAATGGAGGGTTGGCCAATCCGATTTTTCCTAATCCCTTTTGGGAAGCCGCTAGGGGACCGGTTCCTTGCGTAAAGGTAAGGACTGAGGATTGCCTTTGAACAGCCCAGCCTGTGGAATCTTCCCTGGCATCCACACGAAATGTCTACCATTCTCTTGAATCCGGGGCGTCACTTGAGCTCCTGCTCTTCCCCGGTTCTGAACTGGAGCTTGCCAGTCAGAAAGGAGAGTCATAAATGCCGCTAGTAAGGACAAACGCCTTGCGAGCGGGCTTTTGTGACTGGAGAGTTACCCAGCAGTTGGCAAAGGGCTCAGGTTAATCGATGTGTGTTGTGGTTCATAGAACAACACATATAACTGGCAAATATTGGTGGGCACCCACGCGGTCTGCAAATACATATATGCATGTGTTTGGTCATATATATATATATATATACTATGTCCATTGCCAATATTGCACGGATTTGAGCACGTCAAATGATCGCTCTCATGTTAATGTCCTGCCACACGGCCACACAAGGATGCTCTCTTTGGCACAAGCTTGACATCTTGATACCCATGTTGACTCCTCTCAAGGTATTGACCACCCGCTTGGGATGGTTTCTAAAGGGCACTGACACCCACACCATTCATCGATGCTCACTTGATGCCATCCAAGCTCGCAAAGTGGGCATCCGCAGGGGTGGGCAGCTGGGCTACAATTGAAGAGGCTTGATACGCCAGCACTCCCTACACATCAACCTCTGACAGGTGATTCCTAGATGTGGCTGGCAGGCAGGCATCGTTCGCGAGACAACAAAGATGCACTCCACGCGAGCATGCTCCTCCATCTTGCAGTCTTTGTACTTGGCAATTCTGTGCTCATTTGGTTCACAGACTGGAGCTGCGTGTTCCCGTCTCATTCATCACCCTGGGCAAGACCCTAAGCGCAGTTCTCCTCCGAAGCCAGATTGCGGCACCTGTATCGATGAGCGCACCTCTGCAACACGCCTCTGGCCGTGGCCCAAACGATCGTATCCAAATCTGTTCCGCTTGGATGGGTTGAATCTGCCTCTTGCCAAGGCTCGCATCTCACGTGTCTAATTGCCTGCGCAAACCGTCTGAAGGTCTCCTACAAAATCCGTGCAAGCGAAACTTATCTGAGCATTGTTCAAAACCAATTGACTAATGGCGCCAGCTGCTGCTTCCGCGAAACCTTCTGCACGTCTTGCATGACCACGGGTTTTGCTGAGGTAGGTCCAGGTTCTCAAGTGTTCTCCCAAACCACGTTCGAACAGCTTCCGCGGCGCTGCCTTTGAGTCTAGCTCTCGAAGCTCACTTTGGCAGCTCCAGCTCTCACATCGCACATTCTTCAGCACAAGTGCGGTAAGCAAAGCATCCCCAAACTAGAAGCTCGTTACAGCATCAAACTAGAGCTCACGCAACCCACGTTGTTTTCTTACGCTGAAGCATGCTACAAGAACCGAATCTGAAATCTTCACTTGAGGAGGTTGCACGCTGCTCATCTGAAATTATTGCTTCGATCTCTTTGTGGATGTGTCCCCTTTTAGGGGGCTGTCAAAACACGATTCAACAGCGTGTAGGAAGCACCCGTACCAACGTTCGTGTCGCCTCCGGATCCAGCTGAGGCCAGCCATCGCTGTCAAAACATCGCCTGGAGCTTCTCCGAATCGCTTGGTTTGGCTGTCGTTTTGGAGTTGGTGGTTTTAAAGGGAAGTTAACCTCTTTCCAACAATCATGAAAGTGGACAGGAGAGTTCCCCACAAGGAGTGTAGTCTTTCAAATTCTCCTGTCAGCTTCCATGATTGTTGGAGGGAGGGTAAACGGACATAGATAGGTTTGATGCACACACACACACAACCGACCAAGGGATGCAGACTAAGAGGTGCCTCGAAGATCGAACTGCGCGATCTACATCTTGGGCTGATGCATGTGCGACGCTGGCCTTAGTTTCAGCTGTTGATCCCACATCAATCAATCCCAGTTTATTCATACCGTTAAACCAAGGGGGGGTGGGGGTTGTTCCCCTCCAAAAGTGGGCTAATTCCCCACATTTCACCCCGGGACACCCCGCTATTCAGTAAACTGGGGTTGTTTAATGAGTGCTCAACGTTACTGGACTATTCATGTATATTAGAAACTTCCAGTGCGACAACCACAGAACTGCGAGCTGCAGACTTGTGCAGCACTTCAAACATAATCGACGAATCTCCGAAACAGGATGAAACGAGGCGTTTTCTCGAGCTGACTTGGCCTCGAGTAAGAGCGCACGCTCAGCAGTCCCAAGCTGCGCACAAAGGGCTTGCCATCTGCGGGTGATAGAACAGGCAGGCGATGCCCACCTTCCGCCTGCAGAAGATTCTCAGTGACTCTAGCGTATTGAGCTATAAGGGAACCACAAGACGCTGGCTTGTCCCACTCATCAATCCAATGCTTGCCATGCATGCGTCTGTCAAGATCAGGGGCCTCTTCTTGGACTCCCTTGAAAGGCTGGTCAACATGATCGTTGACGCACCCCAAGTGATCGCAGAGGCAGCCTCCACGTACTTGTTGTCGATAAACAAAGAGCTGGTCCGAGCAATCATCTCCTCAGCCTTGTCCATCGCCTGCGGCAACACTGAGCACGTCTTACAGTTCAGCTGCCAGCTCCTGCCTCCTTCGATGCGGCTAGGCCAGCACATGATCTGCACATGTGGCAAGATCCATGCAGCTACCGAAAAAGCCTAGCACTCGTGGCAATGGCACCGGCCTGGCCATGGCTCGGCGGCTGCAGGTCAGCCCCCGGCCTACGAGCATGCCGAGCCTTCCCTATCTCAATGTTAAAGACTTTGAGCCATACTAAGCTGCAGCTTCAGAAATCTTACATTCCGCAACAGCGGCCTACCAAGTTCAACCTGTGGCAAGCATTCCACAACAATCCAGCTGCCTTGTGGCACTGCTACCAAGCCGGTTCCAACCGCTGCGAATCTTTTGCCCATGGGATGGGTCTGCATGTGCCCCGCGGCTCAGCTTCGACACGCGTAGCGCATCGTCTGCCAGGGGCATCCTCGGTCCTCCGGTCCTACTGCACCGCAGCTCCATGGCATCAGCATGGCTTTCTGCTCGACCAGTGCTTCTCTCGTGGTCCTGTGGGTCGATTTCTCAACACCTCTGTCCATAAAACTGCAAAGAAAGCTCATAGCGAGCTCATACACCCATGACAACCCAGAGAAGCTGCATGTAACATCACGAGAAGCAACATTGCAGCAAACCCATACAAAATCACTGGAAAGGCCTAAGTGCTCTGAGCAAAGCCAGCACATTTACAAATCTTGTTCAACGTGTGCTTGTGTGTGTGTGTGTGGGTAAGCGCGCGCGCGCGACTGGGCAATTTGTTTTGGTGCAAACTCCTTGTCCACCTGTTTTGATGTTGTGTAGTCTGGCTGGCCTTTTATGTTTCGCCCTGTAAGTTGCTGCAACACTTATAATCGAAAGGGGTCCAGCAAGGGGGGTCCTGTGCAGGTCTGCCGAGCAGCAGCATGTTGGTCTTTATGCCTGAATGAGAATCACCAAGTCTACACAAAGCCGCTGAACATAATTTAAGTCCTACTCTGCATCCGAAGTTGAGTTTTGCAAAGGCTCAGACGCTGAGGTTGGACTGTTGAGCGGCCGGAAGGTTTGCAAAGTCATCTCCTCAGCCTTTGCAAGCCTGTCATGCTGGGCTTTGCTGGCTGCAGGTTGTAATTACTTCCGATGATGACAACAGCTTGTTGCAATGTACCCAAGCATTCAATTTAGTGAGGCTGCGGCAGGACATGGGCCGCCACTAGTGACAATTCATACAGCCCGAGGATGCTACCTGCTTCTGTCCCCGGGGAAGCTCTTGGCGAAGCTCTGTCCGGCTTTTTGAGTTAGGGCCGAATAGAATTCGGGCGCTGCCGTTCTATTCGCGGTCACTAGGCTGCTGTGGCTCCCCCTGGATTCTTGAGCAGGGCACATCCAATATGCTGGAGAGTGCACAACACAAATCTAAGGGTGGACGAGCTGACAAAAGCACGGGGATCTTGAAGACACAAACAATACCGTGGCCCCCCTTCCCCCCAAGCTGCCTGCTGATTGAGTAGGCCGCAGTTGTGATCTTACTCCTGTTCATCAGCCTCAGCCAGTCAGTACTTTCATCAGTCACGAAACATGGTTGCACTTCCGTGCTTCTCTCTGGCGTAGCTCTGATCACACTGGCAAAGAGGCACATGGCCAGAAAGACTCCTTTCCGTGGGTCAAGTTTCACTGCTTGAGTGTGCAAGGCAACAGATGGCAGAGCTATGCACAAGTATGTACAATTGAGATTCCTCTCTCATTGTTTCGATGTTGCATCAAATTGAGCACAAGCAAAAGTTACTACTCTCAAAGTCGAGCCAGTGATCTCTGGAAAAGTGGTTTAGCCACTCCGCAGAAGATCCATCGGCCAGCCAGCTTTCGAAGCTTTTCAAGCTCCAAGCTGGACACCTGCTACCTTGTTGCGCTCGGATGCCACCTCTGGCGAAAGCCTCAGGTCCGCTGCACGGTTTCTGGGAGTGTTTGGCTGTGAATCCAACGTCGATTTTCATGAAAGCCATGCCACAAAGTTTGAGAGCAAGTGCAGTGCTTTGTCTAGACTCCGAGTTGTGCTGCACTCTTGCGAGGACATAGCTATCCACAATGTACTGTTACAGGTTGCCAGTATGAATGCTGGAATGACCAACTCAGGCACTGGTGGTTGATGACTCGCAAGTCTTCAGTCAAGGCTCTCGGGCGTTTCGTACATGCCCTTCACTCGCGAGTTCGTGGGATCGAAGGGCGCCTTGCACCATTTCACGAGCTGCAAGTACAAATAGCACCAGTTGCTAAATATAGGGTGCCTGTAGTATTGAGCTGGTACCTTTTTCTGGTGGTTTTAAAGGGAAACCAAAGGGGAAGCCACCATTTTGGGAGTCCCCGAAAGAAACCAACAAACACACCCGCATGCGCCCTTGCCATAAGCAACGCTAAAGCAGCCTTGAAGCCCACGCAAATTGACTCTTCAACCCCAACCCAAACCTGTCCTAAATTCAGCATTATTCTTGTTACCGTGCCCCAAACCAACCCCACACCAACCCTAAACCATCCCTAAACCCACCTCGAATCCTTGGGCTGGGATAAGGTTAGTTGTGGGTTGACTGGGAGCAGGGCCGTTTTTCCGGGCAGGTCTGCGGTTTAGGGTGTAGGGCTAGCTAGCATGGCATGATTGGCGTTCTTTCGATGTTCTTTGGCGTGACTTGCAACCGCGAGGGATGTGCTCCTTCGGATCTCATTCCCAATTGTCTGCAGTTTCAGACCCTTAAAACCTGATCTCCGCACGCAACAATTTTGCAACAACAGTGCTGGAAACACAACCGCGCTGGCGATAGCACTGGCGTGCTCAAACGAAGGGACACGCGCACGCCCGGCAAGGCGCTAGCATCTCTTTGTTCGCCATCTGTGTGTCTGTGTGTCTGTGTGTCTGTCTCTCTGTGTCTCTGTCTCCGTGTCTCTGTCTCCGCGTCTCCGCGTCTGCGTGTCTCCGTGTCTCCGTGTCTCCGCGTCTCCGCGTCTCTCCGTGTCTCCGTGTCTCTGTCTCCCCATATTCTCTCTGCTTCTCTGTATGCGGATTGTGCGCGTGTCCGCGTGCACGTGTGCGCGTGCACCTGTGTCGGTGCAAAAAGGCAATATCAGAATCGCCCGCCATCTCGGCACCAACAGCCATTTCAGCACAACTGGCAAATGGCAAATTAAGAAACATTAACAATACCGGAGCGAGCGCAAAAAAGCCAGTCACATTATCAGGCCTCACTCGGAGAAATGGTAGAATCAGCAAATCTAGAGGCACGGGCGTTGCGTTGCTTTTGCTGCTGGACACATGCCCTGGCCAAATTTCTTTTCTTGGATGGTAATGACTCCCTTTAGGAACTTATTAAAGGAGTATGACAATTCCTCTCCAAACATTTGGTTGCCTTTCCAGAAGAGAAACCAAGAAGAAGCCCACCATTGAGGGGGGGGGGCTGGGAATGTCCCCCTTTTAGGACACGCCCAAAGTCGCGTTCTTCCCACAGTCTCAGGGCCTTAAGATGCAGCGTGGCCGAGTGCTTCTCGCCTTTGTCGCCGATTTGCCATACTCCAGCCTCGAGCCATTTGTTGGTGATCTTCGCCTCGGTCCTGGAGAACAAAGCGCTTGGCTTGGGAATCACTAGAATAAGTAGGGAACAAATGGCTGTGGGTCAAAAATAGGTACCCAAAATGGAACCCTGGTAAATGGAAACATGGACTTAAAACCTGCGGTTGGAATTCCCCACGAGGGGGAGTACTCGGAATAATGAGGAAACACATGAATCTGGGCATCCATCAAAGGGCACGCCATATAGGGCATATTTTTTCTTCATGCGAGCTTCGGGGGGGGGGGGGGGCTTAGAAAATGGCTTGCAACCCAAAGGGGTTCACAGGCTCAGTGAGTGTTGGCTTCTTTCGCCCAATACCTGGAACCACTCTGGACACACTCTTCGTTGAGAGGGCGGCCTACATCGCAGAAACGATTGGACCATGCGGATGTGTAACTGTCTCGATTCGTTTCGACATGTGCGCCTTGCCTCGGACAGTCGATGTAGCCGTACGCGATGGATCTCCCAACGGTGTGTCCGAAGGCAGTGGAGCGCACGTAGCCTACGCATTCGCCGTCTCGCCACATACTCTCGGCTCCATGAAGAGGGACACTGGCATCATCCACCACCAAGCAAACCTTGAAGGGACTCTCTGCAATCAGTTCTCCAGAGACGGAAGGAAACCCAAAAGGAGAAAACTAGTTAAAAGTTGCTGTCTGGAGAAGAGACCAGCTTTCTCTGCAAGCCCTGGGCACGCTGCCGTTCAAGAGCCTCACGCCCAAGAAACATTGGGGCATCAGGGCCAGTTCGCTTCAGCTTTGAGAGAACTGTGAAGCCTATCCCAGCTTCAAGAGGAGTGTCGCGATTGCTGAGGTCAGCATGCCAGTGCCGGAGATTCTTCTCTGCAGACAGGCTGTCAATGGCCCGGTAGCCTGCATCGCGAACCAGGATGCCATTCTCCTGGGAGAGCTTTGCTCCCGCCGCGTGGACAGCTCGATATACATCAACAGCTGCCTCAGAGGGCACGTGGAGTTCGAAGCCCAACTCTCCAACAAAGGTGAGGCGAAGCGACAAGAGCTTGGTGCCGGCAATGTTCAACCATCTGCCTGAGGAGAAGGGGAAGGCATCGTTCTCCATGTCTACCTCCGTCAGAGACTGGAGCAACTTGCGGCTGAATGGACCTTGCACAGAGATGAGGGTCATAGAACCGCTGTGGTCGTCAATACGTGCGTTGAAGCCACCATCTTGCAGAACTTTTCGGATCCAGGCCAGATCTTTTGTCGCGGTGTTGCCGCCGGCAGCAAAGTAGTAGTAGTTGTTGCCATCCTCGTTCAACTTTGTGACTGTCAGGTCTGCTTCCACACCCCCTCGCGAGTTGCACAGCGGTGTGTAAGCAACCGAGCCCACCGACCTTCCTTCCATGTCGGCACCACACAAGTACTGCACTGCCTTGTCAGCGTCAGGTCCCCTCAAGAAAAACTTCCCGAAGTAAGATTGATCAAAAATGGCAACACCTTCGCGGGCTGCTCGGCACTCCTCGGCAACGATGTCGTGGCTGGAGGGCCAATTGAAGGTGAGTTCCCCTTCGATCAGGTCCAAATACTTGTGCTCCGCATGTCTTGGAACATCTGGATGGTCTGTCTCTCCCAAGCGCCAGGCACCTTCTTCATAGGCGCCGTAGAAGTCATAGTCCTTGACCTCCACTGAGCCGATCAAAGACGCATCAAACCAGCCCGGCCTTTCGAATCCGTGCCGCGCTTGATAAACGCAGCCGCGGCCCAGCAGCTCATCGTACAAGGCGGACTTCCGGTTCCCGCGCCCAGCCAGGGCCTCGTCGTGGGGGAAGACCACGGCGTAGGTCTTGGCGTAGCTTTCGTGGGTTCGGTCCCTGACCCACCGCGCATCCCCCACGCTGTCCGGATGAAACCGCGCGCAGTCAAAGCTGAACAGGTCCACCTCCGGCGAACCCGTCAAAATCCACTTGGTCAGCTCCCGGCCCACTCCTCCGCCCAGCATCATGCCCATGGAGTTGAAGCCACAGGCATGGTACAAACCTTGAAGTCCCGGATGTGGACCCATCAATGGCTTGTGGTCTGGAGTGAAAGACTCCGGGCCGCAAACTGTGGACTTGATGCCAGTTTCCTCTATGATAGGGCAACGTTGCATGTGGCCAGCCAAATTTTGTCCAAAGGTATCATAGTCCAGTTCAAACAAGCCGAAGGCAAAGCCAGGATCGACATCAGGCCAGAACTCTGGGTTTTGCTCATAGCCGCCAATTGCCAGTGAGTCGCCCTGTGTTTTCAAGTAGACACTCAAATCGTGATCTCTCACATTGGGCAGTCCACTGTGCATGCCTGCGATGGGCTCTGTCAGCACCATGGCGTGCTTCATTGCTCTCAAAGGGATTTCCACTTTGGCCATGGCGGCCACTTCGTTCGCCCAAGCACCGCAAGCGTTGACAATTGTCTTGGTCTCAATCCTTTGGCCGCAGCTTGTAAGGACTGCTTGGATGCGCCTTGAGCTGGCCCCTCCAGCAGTTGCGTAGTCCTCAACCTCAATGCCACTCACCCCAACGTTCTCATAAATGCCACCGCCGATTTTTCGTGCGGCTTTGGCGTAAGCATTGCAAATGCCCGTGGGATCTATGGTTCCATCTCCGGGGGACCAAACACCTCCGTAGATGTCATCCACGCGGAGCAAGGGATGCACCTCTCCAAAAATTGGATTAAGGCTGCCTTGGGACGTTCAGAGTGAGACCAAAAGCAACCCAATCCATCGTAGGCGACCCACCCCCTTGTCGGGACCTTGCAATATTGTTCCTTTGCAGTCTTACATTTTGGGAACCCGCCTTCTTCACTTCCTCTGGGGAAAGGACATGGCTTTCAATGCCAAAGTACTTCCCCGTCTCGGCAAAGCGCTTGTACTCGGCGAGCCGCTCTGCGTTGGTGCCGACAAATAATCCCCCGTTCTCTGTCCAACTGGCAATCTCCGTCTCCTCTTCGAGCTTC